CCAATATGTGTAAGCTCTTTAGTAACAGGCTAATGCTATAATATAATTATTGCTGTTATCTATGAAAGAAAGGCAGAGAGCTTTATAGTGTTTTTTTTTTCCAGATACCCAATTACAGTCAAAAAGTACATAAACAATGCCAGCAAGCATGCAAGCTGTTATCAAAGGCAAAGGAGGCCATTTTTGTTATTATGTGAATAAATACTATTTAGTTGTTTAAGTTTATTTGGCCAATAAAAGACAATAACATTTTTTGATTTAAACAATTTTTTGACAGATTCCTAAAATTCCTAAAATGTGTTTTCTCTTTACTATGGCAGGTGGTCTAATAAATTGTTAAGCACTGTATGTTTTCATAGCATTCAGTTGGCACGTTTGTTTGAAGGACATTGGGCAGAATGTGGAATAGTGTCTTTTTTGTCAATAAAAAAGATTTTTTTAAAAATCAGATTAATCGAAAAAAGAATCGACCAACTAATCGATTATCAAAATAATCGTTAGTTGCAGCCCTACTTATGGGTTTGGAACGACATAAGGGTTAGTAAATAATGACGGAATTTTCCTTTGTGGTGGAACTGTCTCTTTAAGAATTTAGGAACACAGATGTAAAAACAAAGCCACGCATTGGCAGTGCCATCTTTATCTATCTCTTAGCTGATGCTGCGATCCACACGTACCCCACTCCTGCATGCAACTCAGGTATTCGCATCAGATAGCAGCATGAGGGCAGTTCTCCACTGAAAGCATCATGACGTTATCTCCAGCTGATCTGAACATACTTCACACCATCAGCTCCCCACACACACACACACACACACACACACACACACACAAGATTGTATCATAAGTCTGTTATCTGTTCCTAATCTGGTTGTACACACAAACATCCATAATTTCCATATTCAAAGAGTCTAGAGAGCCACTGTGACACAGCAGATCGAAAAACATACAAACAGGAAAATAAGAGACCTTTCACTCTCGATTTCCCTTTTCTTTTGTAGTCTCTCTCATGTAATTCTCTTATTTATTCATTTAATTTTGATATATGCGGTTCTATGTGAATATGTTTTAAAATGTAATTTAATCCTGTTACTACTCCAGTCTTCAGTGTCACGTGAACCTTTAGAAATCTTTCTAATATGCTGATTTGGTGGTACGTATGAATGGCAATGTGTATATATGTATAAAAAATAGAAAATACATTTTATGCATAAAAATAAACGTATAAAATAAGAAAATATTGATCTTTGTAGCTTGTGAACAAACTGAAGCATCAGGTGGCAGGCATTTCACAAAGACTTGAAGAATTTCTCTCATTTCTAAATAAAATGCTGCATAAGACATGCATAATCTGCCACCACTTGTCACCAGAGCACCACCCACACAACATCCCTCACGCGGATCTCAGCGATTCCCCACCGCAGTCTAATTCCCTCCACATCTACAGGAGCTTTGAGCAGATATATGACTGCCATGACAGGAAAGAACACCAAATCCAGCTCTTTCCTTACCGAGCACATCTTCATCCCAGCACTCTACAGTTATATCCGTCTCACACACACATGCTAGCAAACTATTCCTGTTTCATGTCCAGAAACCTGCTTCAGTGTCAAAATTACAACATCTCTCTGTCACCATCTACATTTATCTAAGCTTCTAGGTTTTATACTGATGCTTGTTGAGCACTTGAATTTCCCTTTGGAGTACAATTATGTGTGCGTGTCACATTCCTTAATTTAGTTCCATCTGCTTGTCCCAATCATTTGCTTAGTGTACCAGTGATACATAAACATACCCTGCATGTTTCTGACTAAACACATCAACACTTTCAATTTTTTCAAACAGGAATGATTCTTCAGGTATCAGCTTCTTTCAGAGAATAGCACAATAGAACAACACATTTAAAGGTTTCTGCAAATACTTTACACTGTTGTACACACCTTATATGTCATGTAACACTTTAAGTTAATGGAATGCTGTAGAGAGCATGTAACTAGGGGGGATTCACACACCTGAAGCAGTGTGCCATGGATGTGGTTTTGTTGGAGTCCTGGTCCAGGTTCTTGAGGCAGCTCCTCCAGGAGAGTCTGGATGGTGGAGGGAACTTGGGTCACCAGGACAAATGGAACCAGGGCTCTCGCGGCCATTTCACGCGTGCGGTACACTGCAGCGCGACCACACCTACAAGACAACCGGTTCACAATTATATTTCAGCCACTTCATGATCTCTTCAACTCAGAGTAACTGCATGGCTCTGAGGGGGTTCTGGTGAAGGACTGAGAAGTATTTTTGGAATTAAACTCTCTTCTTGAGATTATAACTGTGCACATAGAACCAACTTCATGAGGTGCATCCTGGAATACTTTTAAAGGGTTAGTTCACCCAAAAATGAAAATTCTGTCATTAATTACTCACCCTCTTGCAAAGCAGCAAGAATACTTTGTGTGCAAAAAAAAACCCAAATAAAAATAAACAATTCTTCTCCTTCGCGTCACCCTAGGGTGCCATTTTAAAGAGCATCACGACGAGAAGAATTGTGGAATAAAGTTGTTATTTTTGTTTTCTTTGCACATAAAAAGTTTTCTCGCTGCTTTGTAAAATTACGGTTGAACCACTGATGTCACATGGTCTGTTTTACCGATGTCCTTACTACGTTTCATTTCAGTTGCATTGCCATCTATGCAGGGTCAGAGAGCTCTCTGATTTCATCAAACATATCTTAATTTGTGTTTCGAAGATAAACAAAGGTCTTACGGGTTTGGAACGACATGAGGGTGAGTAATTAATGACAGAATTTTCATTTTTGGGTGAACTTTCCCTTTAAACAACACGAGTTCACACTGTAAACAGTAAAAACTTTATACAGTAAAAAACATAAATACTGTGAAACAGGGCTGTGCAAAAAATCGAATGCGATTTTCATGCGCATCTCGTCAGTAAAGCCGCTTCTGTGATTAGTAGTAAATCTCCAGCACGTGCTTTCAGATGGAGCGGCATTTACTACACAGAGCCGTAGTTCACTGACAAGCTACACAAAATCGCGTTCATAATCGGCAATGAATCGCCTGCGATTTTGAACGCGATTTTGTTGGAGATTTACTACTAATCACAGAAGCGGCTTTACTGACGAGATGCGCATGAAAATCACATTCGATTTTTTGCACAGCCCTACTGTGAAATATTATTACAATTTGAAATAACTGTTTTATATGGAAGCCTGTTTCCGTCACTGAATAAAAAATAGAAAAAGATAATTGCGACAGTTTATCCCACAATTTTCTCAGAATTGAGATATAAACTCGGAATTCCGGGATAATTGATACAAACTCGCAATTCTGACTATTTTTTTCCTCAGAATTGCATGATATAAACTAGCAATTGCAGGTTATAAAGTCAGAAATGCAAGATATAAACTGGCAAGTATGAGGGAAAAAAAAGTCATCGCAATTCTGATGATTTCTTGCAGTTGCAAGTTTATATCTCGAGATTGCAAATTTTTTTCTCAGAATTGTGAATTTAATTTAACGCAATTCTGACTTTATAACACAACTGCGAGTTAAGTCAGAATTGTGATATATAAACTCGCAATTGTGAGAAAAAAAATCAGAATTGTTAGATAAAAAAGCGCAATTACCTTTTTTTTTTTAAAGTGGTGGAAACGGGCTTCCATAGTTTTATATTTGAACATTTTAAAATGTAATTTATTACTGCTCAAGACACATTTCATTATTATCAAAGTTGAAAACAGTTGTGCTGCTTAATATTTAAGTGGAAATCATGATACATTTTTTTTTAGGATTTTAAGATGCATAGAGAGTTTAAAAGAACAGCATTTATTTGAAATAGTCTAGATTTTTTTGTAACAATCTTGAAGTCTTTGCTGTAATTTTGATACATTTAATACGTCCTTGCTGAACCAAAGTATTAATTTCTTTCCAAAAAAAGAAAATCCTACTGACCCCAAACTTTTGAGCAGTAGTGTAGATGTACTGGATTTTTAATTTTTTTGGAAAGAAATTGATACACAGGCAAATGTACAGCTGCCTACAAAATGTATATCAAACATTGCAACAGAAGCCTTTAGATAATGCCTTAGATAATGAGAAACACAAATTCATTCAAGTGCCTTCAAACTTTTCCCGGTACTATATTTTATGTACATATATTTATATTTTATGTAAAACATTATTTTATAGCTTCCTGGAAGGTTCACTGAACTCTTTTGGACTGGTAGTAGGTTCGGGGACGGGGTCTTGACGTCCTTGCTGAACCAAAGTATTAATTTCTTTCCAAAAAAAGAAAATCCTACTGACCCAAAACTTTTGAGCAGTAGTGTAGATGTACTGGATTTTAAATTTTTTTTGGAAAGAAATTGATACACAGGCAAATGTATAGCTGCCTACAAAATGTATATCAAACATTGCAACAGAAGCCTTTAGATAATGCCTTAGATAATGAGAAACACAAATTCATTCAAGTGCCTTCAAACTTTTCCCGGTACTATATTTTATGTACATATATTTATATTTTATGTAAAACATTATTTTATAGCTTCCTGGAAGGTTCACTGAACTCTTTTGGACTGGTAGTAGGTTCGGGGACGGGGTCTTGATGATTTCATTTTCAGAGCAGCCCCCTGATGACTTAGACGACTGCTTTACAAGCACTAAATTAAAGAAGCCTCTCCAAAGTTCTGGAAACTCCCCCAAGAAGCTCCAGAGACATGAAATAGGGAATATCCATCCATCAAAAAGAAGGGGATTGGAAAAAAGAAAAAGAAAAACGATGTAGCCATCATGTTTGTAGATAAATGAATGGAAGTTTGACAGATGAACAGATAGAAACAAAAAATAAACCATAGCTAGACTTGCAAAGCTGTGATTGGGATCTGCTGACAGCAGATGGAAGCGAGCATGGAGGTATAAGTTCGTGTTAACATTCGCATTCTTTACCAGACCTAACCGCAGTTAGAGAACAGAGATCTGCTGACCTCAAACCATGAATGTCATATGGATTCTAAAGGGGCATGTTAATCTGTACAATAACAACTTCTGCGGAGGCGAATTAAGCCCATGTCATAACAAATTAAACATTAAGTTACATGTAACTACTGTTTCTGGGAAAGAAACAATGTACAACATTGACTATATCATGCACTTCTATTGACAACATTCACATAGTCAGTGTTTAGGACTGGAGCTTGAATAGTCAAGCACCACTTTCTACACCAACACTTTGTGTTTTACTATCAAATTATATATAATAGCTTAACTTACACCTGAATGTTGTCTCTCGAATTCCCACAATTTTGGGGAATGTGAGTTCCTTAACGTGATGAATGATGGGATATGTTTAGTCTCAATACTGCTTCAAAAACGGTATTAGAGATTGTCAATGGATTACAGGTAATAATATTGTAAATAAATGTTCAGTTTCTTGCACAGACAGATCATTTAGCTTCATAAGACCTCAATACATCATCAGGAGCCACGGGTATTAGTTTTGTGTTGCCTGTATATGCTTTTCAGACTCTCAAGTGCTGGTAGCCTGCTGAATTTTTATGAATCACCAAGGACCACGGTTTCAGCAAAAAAGCTGCTTTACTGTCCTGAAGTAAAAACTCACCTAGGGTGGGTAAATTAACAACAAATTTTCATTTTTGGGTGAACTATCCCTTTAAGGACTTTGAGCTTTGGTGTTTTTTGGTCCTGGGAATGTCATGCAAGACAGCGTGCAAGCTTCCTGTTGCGACCAAGTGCTCTCAAGCAGCCAAGACTGCAGGAGTGGGTATTAGGATAGGCTCAATGATTAAATTAAGATAAAGATATTTACATAATGTCTGTTTTGTAATGACATCCACATAACTAACACCTGACAGACTTTTTTTTTTTTTTTTTTACAGTGTTTGAGGCTAACGGTATGTCATTTCCATGTACAGAACTGTTATTATTCAACTATGCAAAGGTAAATACAATTTTCCATTCTATGGCACCTTTAATAACCAAGCACAGAATTTGGGTTGTGGCCAGACCTCAAAATGTCAGTGTGCATCTAAAAACAAATTCCGACAACTGGAGATTCATAATTAATATATATTTCAGAAAGTGATGGTGACCAAATTAAGTCATGGGGGGGGGGGGAGGTTAATATTAAGGGTTATTAAAATTACATAGTACAAACACCTGTGCCATTCCACCTCATCAGAAGTAATGGGATAGTTCACCCAAAAATGAAAGTTCTGTAATAATTTTTTACCCACAGTTCACTGCAAACCTGAATGACTTTATTTCTTCTGTGAAACAAAGATATTTGTTGGGAACAAACAATATGCACATTGTTTTGCAATGGACACCTTTTTTGTAAAATATCTTCTTTATGTTCCACAGAAAGAAAACACAGACTGTACTCTCTAAACGGAAAAGAAAGCAAGCAGGAGACGCCAATAACAGCCTGCCAGACATGTGAACCTTCACCTGCCGAGTTAAACTCCTCCAACATACAGACATCCACATTAACCCACATGGCATACATGTTGCCTTCAGCAGTCACAGCATGACAACAGTCCACAGACACGACCCGTCACATGATGCAGAGCTGTTTGTGGCTGCAAATTCACGGCACACACAAAACCAGCCTAACCTTTTCTGTTCACCTTTTCCTTTACACAGTAAAGTAATAGTTCACCCAAAAAATCATTACCTCAAACTGATGTCATTCCAAATCGTTATGATCTTCCAATACAGTGAGCCGTCAGTGCTACCAGATCATTGGGAAATCAAACTGGATCAATCAAATTTGAGAATAAATCATCTAAATGAATCATGTTTTGTGTACTAGATTGTCATTGTAAAGGTCTGACTGAAAAGAATGATTTGTTCAGGAATCAGACATCACATACTTCTAACTCTTGAAATGCCAAGGAGATCTGGCGGATGTCAAGATTTACAGGAAATATTGACTTATGAGACTTCAAAAGACAAGTTGTATGCATCATGTTTACGATACTTTCCATGTACACATGTATTGAAACTGGAACTATACATACATTAAATTCATACTGGATTTTGATGATAGAATGATAATGCAAACATTAGTTAAATCTGTATATATATTGAATGTGTTAAATCGTGTTACTGTGTAACAAAAATACAAATAATAAAAAAAAAAAGAAAAAGATTTTA